GTACACACAGACGCATGTACACACACGCATGCACAGACATGCATACACACAGACCCGGGTACACGCACATATATACACAAAGATCCCCCGTATAACCTTAACAGACTGTAAAGGCAAGTGTTGGTGGCGAGCACCTATAACCCGCATGTACGTACGTGCATATACACGCATACACATATACACACAGACGCATGTATACACATATACACACAGACGCATGGACACACGCATGTACACACAGATCCATGTACACACAGACCCATGCACTCACAGACGCATGTGTACACACACACATGTACACACAGACACACAAATGCATATATATACACACACAGAAGTATATACACACGCACGCATATACACACGTACATGCAGACAGACGGTACTACAATAATAATCATCAGCGATAATACTCGCACAATGAGAAACAATCCCTGTATAGTCTGCAGAGATTGTTGGGGCAAATGCTCTTAGCAAGCACCTATTATGGTGTAGAAACACGCCCGGCCGCCTTTTTCTCTCCCATGCTGATGTTTATTACAGATGGGTACTCATTTGAATGCTGATTCGACCTGCATAGAGACCAGCACCTACCTGCTTGAATACCATGGGCTACTGATGTTAGCCGTGGCCGGGAGTCGAACTTAGGTGAGGGGCGGTGATTGTCGCTGTTGCGCCGAATCTCTGTCCCACCGCGCTCGACACGCAAACGCGCACTTACGCACCAATAAAGACAAAGATCCCCCGTGTAGCTTGTGCAGACTCTAGGGGCAAGTGCTGGTTAGCGAGCACCTATGAAGTTCGGCACGGCGCACGAGGGACTGAGTTTGCCAGCACCACGCTCCGATCGCCTTCGTTTCCCGAGTGGCGATGTTTACACACCGCAACTGGTACTTATTTCAGGCTGAGTCGACCTAGGAGACGCCCAGGACCGGGTTCCGATAATCGTCACCGGTGGTGGCCGTGAGTAGGAATCGAACCGGGGTTATCGGTTTCGTAGCGCAGTGCGCTAACCACTGCGCTACCGCTCCGCACGACGGAAACATACGCACAGACAGACAGACATACACACAAACATCCACACACGCATACAGAAACTTAGACAGACACACACACACAAACATCCACACACGCATACATAAACTTAGACACACACACACAAACATCCACACACGCATACAGAAACTTAGACACATACACACACAAACATCCACACACGCATGCAGAAACTTAGACAGACACACACACAGAAACATCCACACACGCATACAGAAACTTAGACAAACACACACACAAACATCCACACACGCATACAGAAACTTAGACACACACACATAAACATCCACACACGCATGCAGAAACTTAGACAAACACACACACACACAAACATCCACACACGCATACAGAAACTTAGACAGACACACACACACATATCCACACAAGCATACAGAAACTTAGACACACACACAAACATCCACACACGCATACAGAAACTTAGACACACACACTCAAAAAACATCCACACACGCATACAGAAACTTAGACAAACACACACACACACATAAACATCCACACACGCATACAGAAACTTAGACAGACACACACACACAAACATCCACACACGCATACAGAAACTTAGACAGACACACATAAACATCCACACACACATGCATAAACTTAGACAGACATACACACACACACTTACAGACTTACATGCACAAAGACATCTACAGACATACACAGACAGACACACACACTTACAGACTTGCATGCACAAAGACACCTACAGACATACATACACAGACAGACACACACACTTATAGGCTTACATGCACAAAGACACCTACAGACATACATACACAGACAGACACACACACTTATAGGCTTACATGCACAAAGACATCTACAGACATACATACACAGACAGACAGACACACACGCACTTACAGACTTACATGCGCAAAGACACCTACAGACATACATACACAGACAGACACACACACTTACAGACTTACATGCACAAAGACATCTACAGACATACATACACAGACAGACACACACACTTACAGGCTTACATGCACAAAGGCACCTACAGACATACATACACAGACAGACACACACACTTACAGACTTACATGCACAAAGACACCTACAGACATACATACACAGACAGACACACACACTTACAGACTTACATGCACAAAGACACCTACAGACATACATACACAGACAGACACACACACTTACAGACTTACATGCACAAAGACACCTACAGACATACATACACAGACAGACACACACACTTACAGACTTATATGCATAAAGACACCTACAAACTTACAGACATACATACACAGACAGACACACGGACTTACAGACATACATGCACAAAGACACCTACAGGCATACATACACAGACAGACACACACACTTACAGACATATATGCACAGACACCTACAGACATACATACACAGACAGACACACACACTTACATGCACAAAGACATCTACAGACATACATACACAGACAGACACACACATTTACAGACTTACATGCACAAATACATCTACAGAATACATACACAGACAGACACACTTACAGACGTACATGCACAAAGACACCTACAGACATACATACACAGACAGACACACACACACTTAAAGACTCACATGCACAAAGACACCTACAGACATACATACACAGACACACACACACACATTTACAGACTCACATGCACAAAGACACCTACAGACATACATACACAGACGGACACACATACAAACTTACAGACATACATGCACAAAGACACCTACAGACATACACAGACAGACACACACACTTGCAGACTTGCATGCACAAAGACACCTACAGACATACACAGACAGACACACACACTTATAGACTTACATGCACAAAGGCACCTACAGACATACATACACAGACAGACACACACACTTACAGACTTACATGCACAAAGACATCTACAGACATACATACACAGATCGGCATACACACACACTTACAGACTTACATGCACAAAGACACCTACAGACATACACAGACAGAGGTACACACACACACTTACAGACTTACATGCACAAATACATCTACACACATACATACACAGACCGACACACACACTTACAGACGTACATGCACAAAGACACCTACAGACATACATATACAGACAGACACACACACTTACAGACTTACATGCACAAAGACACCTACAGACATACACAGACAGACACACACTTATAGACTTACATGCACAAATACATCTACAGAATACATACACAGACAGACACACACACTTACAAACTTACATGCACAAAGACACCTACAGACATACACAGGCAGACACACACACTTACAGACATACATGCACAAAGACACCTACAGACATACACAGGCAGACACACACACACACTTACAGACATACATGCACAAAGACACCTACAGACATACACAGACAGACACACACACACTTACAAACATACATGCACAAAGACACCTACAGCCATACACAGACAGACACACACACTTACAAACATACATGCACAAAGACACACCTACAGACATACACAGACAGAGGTACACACACACACGCGCGCACAGATAATGTCGAGACGTCAGGCAAAGTGCTTTACAAAGCGGTCGAGGTGCGTCCCGTGTTATTCATCCCAAACAGTCTCGCGATCTCTCCACGGGCTATCGCGTTCACGTCTATCAACGTGAACGCGACACGGAACGCCAAATTAAATCTGTTGCTGTACCGCACACAGCTCCAACTTCCCCGACCCGCGCTGACAAATCGCGGTGAAGTATGGTCAAATAACCCCCCCCCCCCCCACCCCGGCACTGCGCGGAGAGAGGCCCTCATCCAGCAGTGGATAGACCAAAGGGCTGCACGTGCGTGCACATACACTGACCTCATTATTACCACTTCTGGTTCTCGTCGAAACAATTAATTTCTCGGGGTGAAATGTTAATTGGCTTAATATATGTGGAGCGGTGTGGTGCTGTTGTATGAGCGCGCTGCTCTACAAACCCGGTGGACCACGAGTTCGATTCCCGACCACGGCTAACATCAGTGGCGAGTGGTTGTCTGAACCGGTCCCGCCTGAGTCTGCTCCATCAATCCCCTTAACATTCTAACAGCAACAACTGCTAATATCAGCAACATCACTTTCATTAGGACTATCATCATCATCATACTATTAGCTAATCACATTACGTGCACAATTAAGGCTGTTAAGAAAAGTAAGCGGTCTTGCAAAGGATGATGATGACGACGGTCCCAGGGGCCCCGAGGATATTGACGGAGTGCAATCCAAGGTATGGAACGCGTGAGAGAGAGACAGCGAGGACGGGAACCACCCGCGTGGAGACGGAGCGACGGAATCGGCGCGCGTCCGTGTGTGCGTGCGTGTGTGTGCGTGTGTGTGTGTGTGTCCGTGTGTGTGTGCGTGTGGACAGCGGTAGTGTAGCGGTTAGCGCGCTGCGCTATGAACCTGGCGACCCGGGTTCGATTCCCGCTCACGGCCAACACCAGTGACGCTTATCTGAACCGGTCCTGGGCCTCCCCTAGGTCGACTCAGCCTCAAATGAGTACCTGGTGCGGTGGATAAAAACATTGCCACTGGGGAGACAAAGGCGGTCGGGCGTGGTGCTGGCCACCCCCCCCCCCCACTCGTGTGCCGTTCCGGCCTTCATAGATGCTCGCTAACAGCACTTGCCGCTACAGTCTGTGAAGGCTATACGGGGGATCTGTGTGTGTGTGCGCGCGACCAGCAAAGACGCCCGGTGGGATCGTTACATGGCAGGATCGCGAGAGACGGGCGACGGCGTGACGAGCAGCCTTCATCCAGCAGTGGAGTGAACACGGATGCCGTGATGCCGATGCTGATAATGATTTTGCGAAAGATGAGTACGATTCCGTCGTAAATATGAAGACACCGCGGTGCGTGAAGTCATACGAAAACTCGATTACACTTACCTGTGTAGTAGTGGTGTAGGGGTATCCGAACTGTGTATATGACATCGTTTTTTCAGATTGCTTAGCTCATTATACAACGTGTTGTTGTTGTTGTTGAGTTTAAAGACTCGCAAAATAAAACGGAGAGAGACAGAGGCGGAGAGAGAGAGGAGAGCAGAGGGAGGCACAGCGGGGCTGCTCAGACTTGCCACTAAATAATGTCTCTCGAATCCGCTCTGCCAGTTGAGATATTTAGAAGCACCAAAAAAAATTATAATTTATATTCACGGAAAGAGGGAAAAAAAATGTTGGAACGCTGTTCAATTCGGCTTGCCAGCCAAAGACACGCGCGCGTGTGTGTGTATATATAAGTAAGCACGGATTCTCGTTATGAAAGATAATATGCTAAAAAAAATAATTAAGCAGACACACACAAATATATTTACCACCCCCAACGCAGCTGTAAGTCATACACACAACGCGAAAAATTAATTTGTGAACTAAAAAAAAAATGTATTATAAAAAAAAACCTTACCCCCCCCCCCTCTTTAAAAAAATATCTTCTCTATTGCCCGCCAATCGAGTAACTAAAAATGTCCCCTCACTGGCAAAGCAAAATCCCTGAAACCCGTCAATATTTCCCAAAAAGCCTGATGGATGTAAATACCAGGTAGCGGATTTTTGTGCCCTCTTTTTCTAAGCGGGCCCCGTGAGTTATAGGAGGAGGAGGAGGAGGTTTAAGGAAGAGTTTGAGACTACAACACCACCAGCACCACACAGGTGGGACGGTGGAGTTTCCCGAACGCGCCTGCGATCACGGGAGGAGAGAGAGCGAGCCATGACGTCACGGTTCTAAAAAAAAAAATGTGTGTGTGTGGTGCGTGTGGTGTGATGCGTGTGTGGTGTGTGGTGTGTTAGCTCGATCCCTCTTCCCTCCAGCTCACCGGAACGTCACCCCCGCCAATGGTTGCCGAGTTTGACTTTCTCCAAACCCCTTCTCCCGTATCGCTGTACATCTCCCTCCCTCGCCTCGCCTCTGTCTCCGCTCTTCCTCCTCTGTCCTCCTGCTTCTCTCTCCTCACTCCTCCTCTGCTGCCCCGCTCTCTCTTCTGTCTCCCTGCCTCCTCGTCTGTTCTCCCCTCTCCTCCTCCTCACTCCTCCTCTCCTCCTCCTCACTCCTCCTGCTCTCTCCTCCTCCTCCTCCTGCTCTCTCCTCACTCCTCCTCTGCTGCCCCGCTCTCTCCTCTGTCTCCCTTCCTCCTCCTCTGCTGTCCCGCTCTCTCCTCTGTCTCCCTTCCTCCTCCTCCTCCTATGTCCCGCTCTCTCCTCCTCTGCTTGCTTCTCTCTTTTCTCTGCTCCGTTCCGTCCTCCCCCTTCTCAGTCCTCCCGCTCGCTCTCTCTCTCTACCTCCTCCTTCTCCTCCTCACTCCTCCTCTGCTCCACCGCCCTCTTCCAGCTTGGAGTTTCAACACGCGCGCGCGCGCACACGCATGCACGCACTCGCGCGCGCACATACACGCACACACACATGTTTGTATGCACAGATGCAGCGTGTATACGCAGTACTGACCTTCTGACGTTCGCACGGGCAAGTTACTCCGAGGAGGCCGAGTAATCCTAGCGGTGGTACAGCACCGGTTCAGAGAATCACCTTCCGACGATTATTCGGGATTCATGGTGCAGCTCGCCAACCGATGTGACACCGCTCCGCGCGCGCGCATACTGAACCGGCAAAATTCACTTTCACATTTCGTATAGATACGGACACATGGATATAGATACGTAAACGTGAACACGCTTATTAATACACGGACATGTACACGTTAATAACACAGACTTAGCCACATGAATACGCAGACATATACGCAGTAATGCATACAGTAATGCATGCACACGCATGCGAGATGCAGGACCCCTATGCGCGGTCTTTCGACGTATCCCCGGCGCCTCTCCATCATGCACAAAGACAAAGACCCCCCGTATAGCCTACACGGGCTGTCGGGGCAAGTGCTGTTAGCGAACACCTATTAAGGCCGCACCTACGGCGTAAGAGAGGCCGTTGGTGTGGCGAGCACCACGCCCGAATCACACTCGCGCGCGCACACACACACACTCCATCACACACACACACACACTCCCGTGCGTACATACACTCGAGACACAATGCATCCACAGCTCTCACCCATTCCACCCTCCCTCCATCTCCCCCCCCCTCAATCTCCCTCCCTCTCCCTCCCTCCCGTCGCCCCTTATATTCGCTCTATAAGCTATTGGGGGTATAGCCGTTGCATTGGGGTTTTTTGTATCTGTACAAATGCATTATACATGTATACGTACGGACACGTGCATACATACCTATAAAAAACACAAAGACCACCCCCCTCCAATAGCCTTAATGTACTTTAGGGACAAGTGCTGTCAGCGAGCGCCTATTAAGACCGGTTATGGCACACGAGGGAGGTGGTGTTGCTTGCCAACTTTACGCACGGCCGCCTTTGTCTCCCCAGTGCTGATGTTTACACACGCCGCACCAGGAGCTCATTTGAGGCTGAGCCGACCTAGGAGAGACCCAGCACCGGTGGAGATAAGTCGTGAGTGATGTGCAGTCCGGGGCTGGGAATCGAACTCAGAGGCACGGGGTTCTTAGCTCAAAATAAGGAATGCCCTACCGCTCCCCTCCAAAGACAAAGATCCCCCGTGTAGCATTAAGAGACTGTTGGGACAATAGCCGGGAGTGAGTAGCACCTATGAAGGCCGGCACGGCACACGAGGGTGTGGGTGACCAGCACCACGCCCGGCCGCCTTTGTCTCGCGAGCGGCGATGTTTACACATCTCACCAGGCACGCGTTTGAGGCTGAGTCGATCTAGGGCAGGACCGGCTCCGATAATCGTCACTTGGCGTTGGCCGTGAGCGGGAATCGAACCCGGTTTGCTGGATTCGTATCGCGGCGCGCTAACCGCTGCACCACCGCTCCCCACGTGCGCGCGCACACACAGGCACACACGCGCACATCTTCACATGGATTGCATATCCACACATCTTGTGATATCCTCTTCAGTTGTCTGCAACTCTGTATTTAGAGCGGCAGGGAGATGAGAAGCTAAAGGGAGCGAAGTATTATTTATTAATCGCCGATGCAAGTGGCAGCCGAAGCGAGCCCAAATGTGCGGCTGCATATATGTGTGTGTGTGCTCTCTCTGGTGCGGTGTGTCAACATCGCTACTGGGGAGACAAAGGCGGTCGGGCGTGTCGCATGCCCCACCCCACCACCACCTCCTTGTGTGTCGTGTCGGCCTGCATAGATGCCGCTCGCTAACATCACTTGTCCCTCAAGCCTGTTTAGGCTGTACGGGGGATCTTTGTCTTTGCCTTGTGGGGATGCCACAGCAATTATCCCGATATTATTGGTCTCGCAGATACCCGACTGTCCGGATTATAAGACGCACCGGAAAGTAAGACGCACACAGCAAACGTGTTCCCCGGCGTGAATGAAGTTGTGGTCATAGCGATTGTGGTCACGGACTCGTACACACAAACAAAGCCAAAGATCCCCCGTGTAGCCTTTACAGACGGTAGGGGCAAGTGTTGTTAGCGAGTACTTATGAAGGCTGAAACGGTACACGAGGAGGTGGATGGCCAGGACCACGCCGGCCCGCCTTTGTCTCCCCAGTGACGATGTTTACACACCGTACCGGGTACTCATTTGAGGCTGAGTCGACCTAGGAGAGGCCCAGGACCAGTGAAAAAAATTGTCACTGGTATTGGCCATGAGCGGGAATCGAACTCGGGGCGCCAGGTTTGTGTCTCAGCGTAGCGCTGACAGCTACACTACCGCTCCCCTTAACACACTAACACACACACCAACACACACTAACGCGCACACTAACACGCACACTAACGCACATACTAACGCGCACCAACACACTATAACAAACACACTAACACACACACACTAACACACACACACACACTAACACACACACACTAACACACACTAACACACACACTAACGCACACACTAACACACACACACTAACACACACACACACTAACACACGCTACTGACACGCACACTAACACGCATACTAACATGCACACTAACACGCACACTAACATGCACACTAACACGCACACTAACACACACACTAACACACACTACTAACACGCACACTAACACACACACTAACACACACACTAGCACACGCACACTAACACACGCACACTAACACACGCACTAACACACACACTAACACACACTACTAACACGCACACTAACACACACTAACTGGCGCACACACACGAACTCACACGTGACCGTACTAACGAACACACACGCGCCGACCGGAATATTAGTACTGTAATAATTAGACAGGCGTTCATCCAGCAGTGGAGAGATCGTGGCTGATGCAAAATAAATAAATATATAACCTCGGGCACGTCACCGTAGCGGGATGGTATGCGCATCTGTGCGGACTCTTTAACGTTTTCAATTGCAACATTAATCATGAGAAGTACGCGAGACCAACCTATTCCATGTTGTTTCGTGATAAATATTCACCGCTGCTAATCACGATCTCGGAAGCAAGCTAAGCAGACTGTGGACCCGCGGATAGTACAGTACAGGTGTTATAGGCTCTCGCTTGTGGATGCCAGAGGGCGGTAACAATCAATTACGATCCCGTATATTGTTGTACCGTACTTCGCCTGCGCCCCCCACCCCATAGAGTCTACGGCTCCCCGCGTGATACCCACCAGCGTGGTGAAGTATGGTCAGTGACCCCCCCCCCACTATCCCGTCTGCCCGCCCGCCCCCTTTCGCGTTCAGCATGGACGAGCAGCCGTGCAGAAGGGACATTTAAATCCAGCGGTGGATTGATTTGACACCGCGCGTGTGCTGAACTTTTTTTACGCCGTACGTAGCCGACCGTGCCAATCGGCGGTGCGGGCGAGGGGGTGGTGGTGTGGTGGACAACAACACTAAACGCAAAAAAAAGTTTGTTGTTGTTGTTGTTGTTCGAGATTGAACTTGAGTTTTTGCGAACGGGATCAACGCGGTGAGCTTCGTAGCGGCTTTAGCGTCACACTCCACGGAAAGGCGAATTACTCGGTTCACTGATGCTGGGTGGGGAGGAGGTGAGTGGGGAGAGGATGTTGATGGAGTAGGAGTGGGGGAGGATGTTGATGGGGTAGGAGGGGGGGCGCTTCGTGATCTTCGCGCTACCGGAGGATGTCGAAGAGGCTCGTGAAGGACGCTGCTGCTGCTGCCGGGCAGTTGGAGGCAGTCGCCCTCCAGCAACAACGGAGGGCAGAGGAGCGACGCTCACAACAACTACGCTGGGCGGATAAAATACAGCGAGTTGGCACAGTGGGGGGGGGGGTGCAGCTGGCGGTCATCTCAGTGAGCCAACCCATGGCACCTGCTGGGTCTGTCCCGAGACCTCCTCCTGTTAGCGAGACTTCGACGCTTCAAGTGGCCTCCAAGTGGTGCACCTAGCCTGGCACGGGCGCAGTGGTGACGTCACCGTCACGTAGTGGCGAATGGCGATGGGGTTATTGGTGTTGGTGTCTTTGCGTTCGAGTCGATCGCCCGGGCCTGGGAAGTGAAGTCATAGGAATCTCACTCAGACCCTGTCGTTTTCGGAGACATTCGGAATTATTTTTGTTGTTGTTTTGTTATGATGTTGTTGTTGTTGTGGTATTGTTCAGGATATTCCTCCGTGGTATGGTCACAGACTTCGTCCGTGTACCTGTGCGGGTGGATTCCAGCTCCACGTAGCCAGCCCTTGGAGAACATCAATTGTCACTAAAGTCAGTCAATCGTCTGTGTCATTCTAATGTTTTGTTATTTTGTAACGTTGTTGTTGTCACGCAACGCAAGTTCAGAGACGAAGAGCGCTTTGTTGTCAATCCACTG